ATATATATATATATATATATATATATATATCTATCTATATATATATAACTATGCACCATTTATTTTTCTTATTATCGTTAACTTTTTTAAGGGAGAAAGACCAAACTAGGACTAAAACATTGAAAATATACCAAAATAGGACTTCCATGTTTTTATTTTCAAAATAGGACTTACATTACCAAACATGGTCATATACATTACCAAAAAAGTATAGTAATTTGCACATGTACACTGTCACATTACCACAATGCAAAGTCACATTACCACAGTGCAAAGTCTTATTCCGGAAAAAAAACATGAAAGTCCTATTTTGGTACTTTTTTCTATGTTTTAGTCCTATTTAGGATGATTTCTACTTTTTTAATGCAAAGTTTAACTTTAGTTTTAATTGTAATCTTAAACCTTTGGCATTTGTTCTTTTAATTTTTCATTAATTAAAATAACTTTCATTGTTATTACATTGAATGACCATTAACTTGTATAAATCTTTTATTTTCTCTTTTATTTTCTAGGTATTGTACCAATATATATTTTACCAAATTTTATCTACATAGTCAATTTATTACTCTCTCCGTCCCTAAAAGATTACCAGAGTTTGACTTTGTTGGGCAAACTGTGACACCATTTTATCACAAATTATAGAAAAAAAAATATTTAATTATAATGTAAATTTAGTAAAATTGAGGTTATTTTAAATAAGTTTAGAAATATCAAATTTTTATAAAATTAAATTATTCTGAATTATATTTTTTTCATGGTTAAAGGGTGCCATAATTTGACCAAAAAAGTCAAACAATGGCAATCTTTTAGGGACGAAAGGAGTATTTAAAAATAGTTATGTAGGGTTTAATTTAAAAAATAATTATGTTTTTAAAAGTATGTATCATTATTCCCTTTTATTTCTTTACAAAAAATTTTTTATAGACATGTTAATAAATATGCATTATAAATAAAACTATAATTTTTTAAAACACATTATCATATCTAATAAATAAAAATATGTTAATTATAAAAAACAAAAAAAATAAATTAAATTTTAAATTATTATTAATTTTGTTAAAAAATTTAAACTGTTTAGATAGTATATGTGTTCATGTTAAGTACTATATTGAAACTAGTTTTAAAATTAGTGGAATAAAAATAGGTTGTTGGGTATGTTTAATATTTTGATGGGTGTCACTATCACCACCCTTTTAATAAGAAATGGTATTTTGATAGATTTGACCACACTCAATTCCTACTAATGACCCACTGTCACCACCATACTTCTTATAATTAATTAGTTAAATCCGTAATACTTCAACTAACCCAAATTATTGCCCTATTAATTAATCCTCATAGACATTAGTATTAATAGATGCTTTGAATGTTCAATTGCAAGTTATATATATGCTTTTTCTGTCCACTTGAAAGTTTACACTACAACTTAAAATGTTTGATGAAAATTATTTTAAATTTTAATTTATTTAATATTTAGTATAAATTATATCTATATATTTAAAAAACACATAAAAACTATACAAAAGAGAAATATAACTATACTATTAATCAAATGACATATGAAAATGTGGTAAGAAGGAATAAATAGTTTGCCACCTAAATAGTAACGGTAAAGAATCAAGCGGGAATAAATAGTAACGGTAAAAAGGAATAAATAGTTTGCCACCTGTGTGTGTGTGCGCGCGCGTATGTACGTATGTACGTATGTATGTATGTATGTATGTATGTATGTATGTATGTATGTATGTATGTATGTATGTATGTATGTATGTATATGAGAGAGAAAGAAAATGAGAGAGTGTGTGTGTGTGCGCGCGCGCACGTGCATATATGTGACATAAGAATTCCACACAATTAGATAGGGTTGGGCACAGATCGGGACGATCCGGATTTTAGGTTGTTCCAGTCTTGTCCCGTTATATATAAACGGTCCGGAACGGTTCGGATTACAATCTTATCCCGGTTTGTCCCATAAAATTCGGGATCGGAACAAACCGGGACAGATTCGGGTCGTCCTACTTTGTCCTAATCCCAAATATAAGAGGGGGGGTACTCAATCCAAAAGTCACAAAATGTCATAGAAAAGTCATTAGAGCTACCTAGAGGAGGTCCGTACAGAATTCCTTCACTTGTGGGCATGTTTGATGTCACCTCAAAAGCATCAGAATCTGGTGTATCTGTTTGAGTAGCTTCATGTTCAGGTCTTTTAGAGCTAAGTTGAACTCGTTGAGAGTGCTTGGGTTTGCTTCTATTCATGCGTTATAACTGCAACAAAATGCTTTGAATTAATTTGAACTCTCGAGTCTCGCCGGCAGCAACTCCGAATTGGTGCAGGGCGATGAATTGGACAAAAGTGGCGACTGGCAGTGGCGAACTAGTAGTGGCGATTAATAATGAATTAGTGTAGGGCGATGAATTGGACAAAAGTGAATTAGGTTAATAATAGGATGGAATTGGGCTTTGAAGTGTGGACTTAATCAATTGGGCCAAATAAATTTAATAAACTTTGGGTTGAAACTTGAAGTTAACTTAATTAATTAAAGAATGAGTGTAGAATTAGAATTATATATTAATAAAATAGATAAAACGGGACAAACGGGACGGATCGGTATAAATTTAAGTTGTCCCACTCATGTCCCATTTGATAACGGGACGGAACGGGTTTGGGATAAAAAAGTTGTGTCCCAATTATTCGGTACATTTACAAAACAGATTCGGGATTTTTCGGAACAGTCCAACGGGAACGGATTTCGTGCCCACCCCTACAATTAGACTTGGCAAAACTGACCCAATTAAACCTGATAACGCGAACCAAATAACCTGGAATCAAATCCGAAATGACCCAAAGACTAGATAGCCAAATTAAACTCGAACACCCGAAATGATCCGAACCGAATCGAAACTGGACCGAATGTATTCAGACCGGATTCAGATCTAGATTCGATTGAACCTGAACTAGTTAGACCCGAAATTGATTAGACTCGGAACCAATTAAACACAAAACTAATTAGACCCAAAAACTAATTAGAGCTGAAAATGATCAAATTCAAAACAAATTAAACTCAAATTAAGACAAACATAATAGCTCATTGGTTGATGTCTTTCTAAAAAACAAATTTAAATTATAGGTACAACTGATTTAATGTACAAATCTTTTACTCCATATATTTTATCACTTAAACTAAGGTTGTTGTCTATTTTTATACAGAGTTTATATAAATTATAGTCACATCGTAACACACATTAATAAATATACTAGCTCATTATTACTGACACCTGTATATATACTCCCTTTACACATAAGGAGGATAGGCTACAAACAAGGCTAACATTAGGAACTCTAATACCAAGGGATCTCATCTGAAACTAGTGTAAATCCGAACCTAGATAAACCCAAATCGATATAAACCTGAACCAGTATAAATCCGAACAAAAACGACCCGAAACCAAAAAAAATCAAACTGAATTTAACCCGAAACCGAATTGACCCAAACCGACTATAACAAATATCTGAAAGAGACCCAAACCAAAAAGATCTGAATTGGAACCGAACTGATTGACCCGATTTCCAGGTCTACACACAATACATCCTACGTTGGCCAAAATTACAATTAGTAGCAATTTCAAAATCTGACACATGAACCTTGTTACGAAAGATATTTGTGAAAAGTTTACAATTGCTATAACAAGCATGCCTTTTTTTAGATAATCTTGATTTGAAAAAAATAATACTTTGTCACAAAATTTCATGTCTAGTAGCGAATATGACTTGGTATGTTGCTACAAACCTAATACTAGTGAAAACTTAAAACTATGGCAAATTAAGAAGAGGGAAAATTCAATATCATGTTCAGATTGTGTTTGAACTTAACTTCTTTTTTTTTGTAATGTGTACTATTTTTTATAAATATTCATTGTTATACTAAAATTTATTCTTTGATGGTTTAAAGTGTTCGTGTTATAATTATGAGGATTAAGAATGCACCACAATGCTTGCTAAAGTGCATTATAACACAACACGAGTGAAGCTCATATGAGTTCATCTAAATTTTTTATAAGTGAGACAAAAAGTTTGAACCTTAGTATAACAAGTAAAACGAATGTGCCCTATGTGTAGAAAGACCATATGTAATACAAGCATGTGCTTTGAAGTGTTAAATAGTTAGAAATATATAATGGAATTGAGGTGATGAAATGATAGAGATTTTTTAAGATATAGAGATGTGGACAATGTAGGCATAAAGTAAAAAGAATACCATTACCAGAGTGAAAATCAAAACATAAGAATAAAAACAACACAATATATCATTCATAGTGTAGAGAAAAACACATTTTTTCCTAAATGGATATTCTAAATTTGTGCGAGTCTTACAAAAGTACAATTTAAAACTACACACACACACACACACACATATATATCCTCTATATTATATAAATGAGAAAGAGAGTTAGGTACCCCTTAATTTTATGCACTTTTTCCATCCAAAAGAGTTGTACATTATGCTTTGGATGTTGTACACTATTTTTATTTACAGCTTTGCCATTACATCGTTACTAAGATGTTTCCTTGAGAATTTATGTCACATTTATATTTCCAAATTGCTATTAATTACTTTATAAGTGATATTGATTAAATTCTTTTAAGTTTATTTTGTTATTTACAATCTTGAGAATCTGCTTTGAGGTATGTGAAATTTTTTATTATCAATTTCTAATAAAATATATTTGTGTGTGTGTGTATGTATATGTATGTGTGTGTGTGTGTGTGTGTGTGTGTGTGTGTGTGTGTATAGCATAAGAATCAAGTAGGTATTTTTTCAATTTATTATATAGGTACAACTCAAGAATTTATTAGACCATTCTATTGCTAATTACAAAACCATTCGAACAACATTGGTTAGGTAATTTTAATTTAGTTCATCAATTTTTGAATGCAATATCTTTCAATCCAAATTATGGTTGAACAAAATTATCAATACTTTTATAAATTAATTCGGGATGTGGGGAGTCTTTATTTGTCAAATGAATAAAAAATGATTCAAAATGACTTTCATTTACCATGTGCTCAATTCTCATGATTTTTTGGTTTTATAATTTAGTTTTTAAAATAATTTTATAAGAATGAAATGTTTTCATTTAGGTAGAAGTATTTCCATTTAAGTTGATTTTGAAAAACAAATAGCGTTTTTTGGATTACACAAAATCTTGGTTGATTGTGTCCATTATTGACAATAAATAAGGATTTTTAAAGAGTAATTTACTTAAATAAGACTAAAACATAATGACTTTCTCAATATAGGACCATATGTTTTTTAATTTCCAATGTAGGACCATTGGTCATTACCTATTAGTCATTATTCAACTAAATGTCTAGCATTACTTGAACATTAATCTTCTCACTAGTCATTATTAAGTCCTATTTAGGGAATAACAAATTTTAAGTCCTACATTGGGAAATAACTTATGTTTTAGTCCTATTCAATGCAAATTTCACATTTTTAAATAATAATATGTAAGACTCAAAAACTAGGCCGCAGAGAGTTTTAATTTGTCCTTAGAAGAATGAGTTTACAATAAATTGGGACGTAGAGAGTTTTTATTTAGGCCAAAGTGTTTCATAAGAATGAAATGATTTTATTTAGCGAGAAGTATTTTCATTTATGTTGTTTTCTAAAAAATACAGTCTTTTTTCTATTACCATAGTTCTTGGTTGTTTGTTCACTACTCACACTAAATAAGGCTTTTTTTTATAAAATTATAGGTACGAGTCAAAAATTAGAACATAGGGTGTTAAATTTGTCCATTAAAGATTAAATTTACAAATCAAATTGGGACATGCTCAGTTCTTAAAATTTCTAGGTTTTTTAATGTTACATGAGAATTAAATGTTATCGTTTAGGGAGGAATATTTTCACATAAGATACACAAGGTTCGGTTTGAATAAGAATAGGCATTATGTGTTGTTGGATCAAAAAGTATTTTAATCTCGTAAATGAATCATTTTATAATCTCGCAATCATAGAGGGGCATAGACTGTTAATTATGTTTATTTAATGTATTAGTTTTTAATATTAGGGAAATAAGATTCTCGCGATAGCAAATATTGGAGAAATGAGTGCTCTTTGAATGCCATATGATAAACAAATAATAACTAATCATGCTTTTTCTATAAGTATTTCTATTGCATAAAAAATTTAAATTGATTTATGACAACAAAGCAAAGTAAATTTGAGAACTTCATTATTAGAGACATAATTTATTTACAATGAGTGGGGTTAAAAAATATAGACTAAAACATTAATAATTCACATGTAATTTTGTTCTTCATTGTATACATTCTTGTCCTAAAAAACTCATTATACTATTAAACATTATATTCTTTGTATTATCAAGTCATACTTGGTAGTATCTATTTTAAAACTCCATTTTTGGTCTTCAAACATTATGCTCATGGTTCATCAATGATTATTTCAAAACTTTTAATCTTCCACAAAACAGCTGAATACGTACTACTTCATTGTTGAAATTAGAAAAAGATGTAAAATATGAGACTACACTATGCTCACATTATTCACTATAATACTCTAATTTTATACAATGTCTTCTTAATATACATGGGTATACAATCCAAACTAAAAGACTGATCATGCTGACATGGACATCGGATATGTATGAAATCTGATGTCAAAATCCATACATGCAAAAATCATGTCATTCATGAGATTACCTTATATATTATGAATTAGGAATATATCAACCATGTCTATCTCTAAATGTCTTATACACCTTAATGTTATTCCTAATATTTTTGGAATTGTTGTTAAGTAAACCTTGATCGGGCACTACAATCCACTCAACGCACATAAATATGCTTTTGTGTGTGTGTGTGTCTATTTTATATATATATGTAACACCCTAATCCGTCCAGGTCTGCAGCCCCTTTCGGACTAAAGTATTAACTTGGTAATCGTAAAATTTAAAACTTTTCAAACACTTTTATTTATCACGATAATATTTTTTTATAACATATACAGTGTGGAGTTTTCAATATTGCGGAAGCTTACCAAATCATAATTACAAACACAATTTATTTACGTTCTTTAATTCAAAACCATCACATCCATTCCGACAATCTCGCCTCCGTCTGCCTCCAGAATCATGTCACATCATTCTTTCTATTAACCTGCGTGTAGCAAATAAAACATACTACACGCTCAGCGGTGAAGCTGAGTAAGCATATCTAATGCGTCGAACATTCATATAAATTGAATCCAAATTCATAATCAAATCATTTGATATCATGCACAGAGTATTCAGTTCAAATATACAATAATCAATATTCAACATTCGTCATTCAATATTCAT